TGTTTATCTGGAATACCAGATCCTGTGTGAGCAGGAGAGCCGCCATTGTTTCCTGATATGGACGAGTTGAAACTGAGCAGCCAATGAGAGCAGCTCAACTCGCAGTACGCCACGTCCGCTGGCTCGTGTTAGGTTAAAAGAATACCACATTTTGAAGATGGTTAAAAGACAAAAGCGACATATAGTCAAACTTAGCAAACTTAAAACTAGCTCATGTCGTCCATCCATCGCTGATATAGTCACATCTTAAGTTAACTAATGTTAGCAAAACACTAGATAACTAGCTAGTTAATTTACATCAATTGTTAATTAGCTAGCTAAGTAGTTTTGCTAACATAATGATCGATGTGGATTAGCTAGCTAGTTAACTAGCATGTTGCTAACATTTGCTAACTTAAGATGTGACTATATTTATATATTTATATATATATGTTGCTTTTATCTTTTAACAATCTTCAAAGTTTGGTTGTCTTGTCAATATAGACGAGGCTAGCACGTAGCATATCTAAATACAGGAAAAGAGTTTCCGAAAGGGGCGGGGCTTAGGAAGGGGAAATGGTTCCAGATTGTTGCCGAGAGTTACGTTAGAAGATGCTACTCTCATATCTGTACTATAAATATGAAGCTACAGCAAGCAGTCGTAGCTCAGTATAAAGGAAACAGGGTTGAACCGCTAGCTTGGCTCCGTCTAACCCTTCAACTACATTAACGTGTTTACAGGGTTTTAGGTGGGTTGCTATATATGTCGCACTATCTTACTGCCGAGCAATGTGACTTCCTGTAGTCTCTGCTGGTTGCCTGGCAACCACAGCAAAGACAGGTCACTGCTCGCTGTTAGAGGGTCGATAATAAATCAAATACAACAATAATGCACATTTACAAGAGTTACTAATATTAATGTAAAGAAACTGAAGCCATGGCTGGTTGTGTGTCCGGCTATATATAACCTCAGCAGGTGAGTTCAGACTGACTGTGTGCTGTTGTACAGGTCGTCTCAATGTCGGCAATGATGAGCTGGACGAGATGATGAAGGAGGCTCCCGGACCCATCAACTTCACCATCTTCCTCGCGATGTTTGGCGAGAAGCTCAAAGGTCAGTCGGGATATCTGAGAACTACAGCTGAGTTTAAACTGTGTGTATATCCAGATTATACTGACGTCTTTAAACCTCTTTGATTGGGATTTGACTTGTTTTATCTTATTTTAAACTCCTGCTACACCACACTAACGAGAGCAGGGGCCACATGCATATAAAAAAGCCTTTAAACAGTCAATAAGCTGCAAAAATGTATTATTTTAACATATTTTATGAAGCTCAATAAAGACATAGTTCACACTCATGTTTATTCTCTCTTCTCTCTCTTTATTCTCCCTTTCTGTGGTATTAAAGCTGTATTTGTTAAATCTTTTAGGAACGGACCCAGAGGAAACTATTCTTAACGCATTCAAGATCTTTGACCCCGAAGGAACAGGCGTCCTACGAGGAGACGAGTGCGTATTTTATTTATATTCTGTACAAGACTTAGGAGCCTACCGCCACACTGAGCTACAAGCTAACATGTTGATGTTTAGTAATTAGGGCAATTAAGGTATAAATCAAAAGATATGACCTGAAAAATGAGTGCTGTGATATCTAATAATGAATATTTATATGATAATTGATGGTTAAAGTGCTGCAAAACCTTTTAAATGAAGTGTAGTGACGGAGAGACGAACACTGAAATGTTGTTATATTTAAACAGTTTTGTGATCATTTTATTTTACAGATAAAATAAATATATATATTGGTCACAATCAGTTATATTATAATAAATAATAGTTTAAATTATGTGTTTTTCCACTCTAATTTTAAGGGGGAAATAGAAAGCTGCTGGGATGACGTATATTTGTAGTCCAACCAGGAAGTTAGCAGGACGATGCTCAATGGGAAATAAGTTCTGTGGTGAATAAATGTTTGTTTTGTTCATCAAGATTCACAAATTATCTTTATGATATTTATGATTTCTGAAGCATAAATGCGAGAAGTAAACAGCTAACGTTAGCCTATAAATGAACTACACTACGGTTCGTGTGACTTCAACATCGCCACATTAAATCTTGTAATTAAAATCTACAATTTGTAAAGTTTACAAGAGTATAAACAGGCTGTAAAAGTGGACTAGAGTAGATCAGTCTGTTAGATCAGTGTTTTAATGTCACAGACAACCTCTGTAGTCTCATTTAGCTGCTTATTAGCACGTAGAAGCTTCCAAAACACAGGTGGAGTATTTACTGACATATTTTATGTCACAAAATATGACATAAAATAAGGTTGTGTTAACCACAGACTTTATTTCAGGCATCTAACCCAAAAAAACCCTCCCTGACTTTGAGGACAGGGAACCAGAAAAAGTTTTAGGACTCATTCCTGCAGCACTTTGTGTTTGTTGTGATTAAAACATTATTAATATATGATCATTTTCCTTTCACAGCATCAAATATCACCTAATGTCTCAGGCCGACAAGTTCACAGAGGATGAGGTAATAATGCTTTTATCTGACACAAAGGGATACTAACATGATCAAAGGGTTAATAATAGATTCATAACACCTTCACGCTGAGGTGCGTTTGTAATGGTATCGTACATCCTGCTCGCTGTGTTGTGGTAGATCAACTATCAGGATAAAGCAGCAGTGAGTTTTCTGATGGGAGCTGAAACTGTGAACAGGAACATGGGAGTGAAAGTGATCTCCAAAACCACAAAGATTCACATTAAAAACAACAAAATAGACACATAAATACACAATGTTGTTCCTCTAAAACCAGGTCTTAACCACTTCTTGTGTCAAGGATCCCAAATTAATACACATCTGACCCTGGATTCATTCACACAATCTTATAATTCTTTTTAAGGCCATTATAAATGCAATTTAAAACCAATTTAATGTTGATAATGGCAAAAAAAGGGACAAAGAATATGAAGGAAACTCAGTATTGGTTCCATGTCAGTTGTATTTTGTATTTGTTACAACATAATCAATACAAACTTTCCACCAAAACATTATTTAAAAGCTGAAACTGCAAAAGTTTGTTAAAGTTATATTTTCCTTTAGAGAGAGCCAGGCTAGCTGTTTCCCCCTGTTGCCAGTCTTTATGCTAAGCTAAGCTAACTGTAAAAGAAAGTGAATCCGTGTGTTTTCCCAAAATGTCGAACTGAACCACGTCGGAGTTTTTAAACTGAGAACTGTGCCAAGTTTCAATTCACTGTCTAAATGTTTTTATAAGATATTTTAAATCATTAATATTTAAATCTAATGTTTAATCCCGCTTCCTTTAGATAAACCAGATGTTCTCGAACTTCCCGCTGGATGTTGCCGGAAATCTGGATTACAAGAACCTGTGTTACGTCATCACCCACGGAGAGGACAAAGAGCAGGAGTGAAACCACCCTCTGAGATTCTTCAACCATCACTTTTAGTCTTGTTTCACTCACAATTTAACAATAAAAGTTTCATACCTTTGTTCATTGATCCCGTATTGGTTTGAATTATATATTTTAAGTGTTTTTGGCCTTCGATAGTATCTGCGGACACAGAGTCCGGTGTTTATATTTACCTAAAGTATCTGACACGTTCAATAACAGCTACAGTCGGTACAATCACATCAGTTTTCGTTAGCGTTTAGCTTATGAAATAACTAGTTTGGTCCAGGGCCCTTCTGGCAATATGAGTTTAAATTAGCATTTTTATTGTACAAACTCAATTACTAAGCAACAAAATTGATTTTTCAATTCCACAAAATTACATAAAGTCGGTAAATTGGGTTTTACGTTAGCTAAATCTAACTCACCAGCTAGCCTCAACCTGCTAGAGTTGATTCATAGTTTTTACTTCTGTTTTTCGAGTTGTTGTTTATTTGTAATGCTTAGTTTTAATACAAACTATAAGTGTTTATAGTTTAATATTTTACATGGTAAAGTAAAAAGTCTGAACTCAGCAGAATGTAACGCTAACTCCAGGCTACGTTATAAATACAGTTTATTATTAAATACAGTAGTTCTCTTGTCCATTTACACGATTAGTTTAATAAATTAATCATAAATTAAACACATTAAAAAGTGATTTAAAGATAGTTCAACCAGATGCTACTCTGCTAATCTCAGCTAGTTAGCTTTAAGCTAGTTAGAACTCGATTAGGATTTTAAACTATTAATTATTTATTGTTTAACAAATTCAATTACTAAGATGAAGGAGCATCAAAATAGATTTTTTCAAGTTCGTGAAACAAAGAAAAATAGGTAAATTGGGTTCAACGATAGCTAAATTTAACTTACTAGTAACGTAAGAGTTCAGTCAGTTTGTAAGTTTTACCTTTTCTAGATGTTGTGAATTTGTAATGTTGTTTTTTCACTAAAATTATACGTCTGTGGTATTTTTGTGTCCAGTAAACGCTCCAAAGTTATTCTATTTTGCTAGCCTAGGTTAGCTAGTTAGCTCTTTTTAGTTAGTTTTCTCTCCAGGCCCTCCCCCATTATGATTTTAAATTAGCTACTGTATTGTTTATAATGTATAATACTTAATTACTACAATGAAGGAGCATCAAAATTAATATTTCAATTCCACGAAAGAAGAAAAAGGGAGTACATTGGGTTTAATGTTAGCTAAAGCTATCTCAGCAGCCAGCTTCAAACAGAGTAGCTACAATCAATCTGCAGTTTGACCTGTTTTCTAGTTCTGAATATATATATCTGTTTTCTAGTAATAAATGATAACATCTACAGGTTAAGTCGTATTAAAGGAGAACTCGCAGCAGATCAGAGTGATGATTTTGTGTCCACCTCAAACCACACTCAGGCTGTAAATGTGTGTGCTGCTTCGGGGAGGTCGTCTTTGTCTTGAGCGTGACGGATGTGGCGAGGTGTTGAAAGAGGAAGCAGAGTTTTACTGCTGCCAATGTCTGCAGGAGAATGAAGGCAGCCGGACAGCTCAAGGTAAAAGCAGCAACTTATCAGAGAAGAAACCTTCTGCTGGTGAGTTTTTAAAGCGTCGTATTAACTCTAATTAAAAGCTTCTGGACTCTCAGACCCTTAAATGTGACCAGAGAGACATTAAACAGGACGATGAAGAGAAGTTATGGACAAAAAAGCAAACGTGGGTCAACGTAAATACCTCAAAAATGAAGTATTTGCTCACGAATCTGCTTAAACAGATTAATTTTACTACATTTCAGAGGGAGTTTTCACCTTAAATTGATCTTATAGTTGTTTTTATTTGTTACTTATGAGGTTATGATTGGTAGTAGTGCAGTAGACACTAAGAAAGAGGCTCATTTAGTAGTTTTTGTGATATTTAAAGTACATTTTAGTGGTAATACTTGTGTTCTGGTGTACTTTTACTTGTAATGGAGTATTTTTACAGTGGGTTATTACAGCTTGTGGATTTTAATCTTCCAACACGACCAAGAACAACAGAAACAACATTTAAATAACGATTTAAGTAATGAACATTTATTAAGTCACATGCTAATCATCTGTGTAAGTTTCAGTGTAAATATGATATAAATATAAATATAAATATCATTGTGAGTAGCTACTGGTTGGCATAAAGAGAGGAAGGAATTAGTGTTGACTAATTTAAGAGGGAACTCGAGGTAATGTTGAAATTACACCATAGGTAGTTTTAAAATGACCCGGTAACAATAATACCACATTGGAAGCAGGTAGAAACTTTGTAGAAACTTAAACAGCAGTCATAATTACTATTATTTTACAATTATACGATATATTAAATGTCTCAGGTACAAAGAAAGTTAGAATCAACATAAAAAAGTTCAAATTTAAAGATAGAATATGTAATTTAAGTATTAAAATTCAATGTGTATATTGTCTTTTTCAGAATATAATCATTTTATAGAGTATGTGACTGTTGTAAGTTAATGACATTAAGTATGTTTTAAATGCACAATAGTTGCCAGTTTATTAGGTACAACTAGCTGAAATCAGTGCAGTCTAACACAACAGTTCAGGTTCAAAGTGTGTTGATTCAACTTTTTTATTTTAAAGAATGAAGTTTGTGGGGATTTTATATCGAGCTGTTTTTAATGTTTAGTCAGTCAGGAGTAATATTACTTTCAAAAAAATCTACTTTATGGAAGTTTTACGTGAAAAAATATGCAACCAGCACTAAAGTACATAAAACATCCAATAAAGTGCATACAATCCAGACAGTACGAACTACTTTCATGTACTTTTCAGAAGAATATATACTTTTAAATCCACTAAAATGTATCTGATAGTTGTAGATTCGCAGTATTTAATGCATTAGGGGCCATTTTGTGTCCTAATAAGTTCTTTTTGTGATGCTTCTTTTACTAAATCTGGATCTCTTAACAGACACATAGAAGTGAGATCACACTCTTTATTATTATTGTGATTACATTATCACTCTAACTGTTGAATAAGTGTTCTGCAATTTAATGAAACAAGTGTAAAAATACAGTAATTCAAGTTCCTCAACGTCATTACTTCCTTATTCTTTAACCTCTTCTCTCCTTTACCTTGTACGTAGCATCAGGACCCAGAAGTGACCTGAAAGTCTTTAGAGACGCGAATAAAAACAGACAACAAAGGAAAAAGTCTGACAGAGAAACTGCGACTGTGGAAAGGTTTTATTTTCCAGTTCCACTCGAGATATAAAACTAAAAACCACACAGAGCCTTTAAAAACATCATCATCATCAACAACAACAACAACAACAACAACAACAACGTTACTGTTTCAGAGTCCAGACCTCAGTCCAAAACCGGCATTTAAAAGGTCGAAGAGATAAAAGAATGAGGTTTAAATCTGTTTCACCGCGTATCTGTAATCTGCTTTTATTCATGCTGCACCGCCCACAGTTAACCTGCTCATATCTGCAGCGGCTCGTAGGAGATTTATAGGATTGTTGCGGCTTAAAATACCTTTTCTTTCTTTCTTTATTTTTATAATTTTTAGACAAGGATGGAAAAAAAGACATATATAGATATTTGTACAGTAAAAAACTGTCAGAACTGTACCGTAATAAATACGGTAGAACTTTTTCTACTGTTAAGGATATCAGTATTGTTGATTTTAAGCTCAATATTTTACCATATTAATACATTTTTACCATAAAAAGAAACAGTTATGTCGTATAAAAATATCATATGATGTTATGAAGGTGGTTTTCTGTCCAATTTACAGTCTAATATTTAAAAACAAGCTACTTTATTCCATATAATTTCCTTTAAAATGTCATAAATAAACAGTTTTGCCGTGAGATATCAGTGTTTAACTGTTTACTTTAATCTGTTTACGGGATTTTATTGTCACAGTTTGACAGTTTTTCGCCTTAAAATCTACAAACAATCACTCAAGATTCAAATAAGATTTCCAGTTTTGGATTTTTACACTTTTTGGTGTCAAACTATTTTCATCCATTCAAAGACGGAGAATCTTTAATCGGCCACCTGCTGTTCCGTCCTGCTTCTGTAGACAAGTTGGCAAATCTCCCGAATATATAAACACTAAAATTAAAGTCCTGATTTCACACATCAACCCAGTGAGAAGAAATATTAGGAAACGCAACACGATCTCCGACACCAACCATGTTCAGGTTTGTTGCTTTTTTTATAGCTTTTCTTTTTTTAAATGATAAATAGTTTATTGTTTTCATGATAAACAAAACATTTGGA